GAACGAAACACAAAAAATCCTGTCACGTCGAATTTTGCCTTCATTATAGAATCCAGCATAAAATGCGACAGGTTTTTCTAATCTACTTACTGTTTGTGTCAACATAACAGATAAGCTAATTGTCATCTATGCCTTGAATATCCCTTTTCAGTTTCAGTCATAATAATTATCCATTGAATTGTTTTATGCAATCAAATGTTCAAATAGGCGAATCATTTCAGGTGCGAAGCTATTACAAAAAATGAAGAGCAAAGTGTCATTTTGCCGGTCTCAATCCAGATGCTGGAACAAGATATTACTCGGTAAAGTAACATAACCATAAATCTCAGTTCTCTAATTAAGATTCGAGAGGGATTTGCAGCTTGAAGTTTGAAAACATTTATTTGGTTTCTTATCTTTTTCTTTCTTGAATACTGTTCCTCTATAAAATTAAAACGAGAAGATTGTTCAGATGGATTAGAGAAGAGATTTTATAAATTCGTCATTTTTAGATCAGAAACTTCAACATACCTCACAGTGCAGACGTTGCTAAACGACTATTTAAAAACTGAGAAAGTGAATAAAAAATGCGAAAATTGCAGTTTTACATACGCAGAGAAAACCCAGAAATTTGCTCGAATTCCGAGGTAATTTTGTTTTCATTTAACTTTGGTCTTAGTTACATCTAATTTAAAAATTTGACGATATTTAAACTTTGCTTTGCACTTTTTTCCTACTGATTGTTATTTTAGATGTTTCATCTTGTTCATCAAACGTTATGTTTTCCAAGGAAGCATTGCTGTGAAACGTGATGACGAAATTGAAGTTCCGCTATATTTAACCTTAAATAAAGGTTTTGTCGACGAAGCAACTCAATTTCCAGCTCTATCTCCAACTACTGAGTAAGTAAATGATTCTCAGATGCATTTTTTCCAATCATGTTTTGATAAACAAAAAAAAAGTGGAAATTTTTTAGTTGAAATTACTTAACTCAAAAAATATGACAAAACTATTAATTATTGAAAAGCGAACACATTAATTTTAGGAAAATTGATCTTAAAACCATCCGACCGCTTGGAAGAAAATTATTTCTGAATGCCAAGCGACGCTTGAAGGTTGGGAACGCGGCAAACGGATCGAACTCGTCAGTTGTAGATGCACAGTCCACTGGGACTGGAAAGTCAAAAACTGATACATTATCTCTTAATCTGAGCAATCTTACCATAGAAAACCATACTAATAACCCTGGAGAAGTTGATGTGAACATGGATAGCATAAGAGGTCAATGCTTTTTATTTGCTGATTGAAATCAGATAGAATAACCGCGCTGGAATTCCTAAATCTTAAAAAAGTAAAGTCCTTTTTGCATTTTTTAAAGGGTAAATAAAGAGAACTATCAGCTTTAGGTTCTCGCAAATCAGATATGAAGCGTGGCGATAAAACAATTTTATTAAGCGAACAATTTGAGGATAGTCACGGAGAATTGGAAACACTTGATAATGCACATCTTCCAAATGTCGATGTAAAATTTTCCAATTTGTCAAATATCGTACTAATTCCAATACTGAGAGAGCTAATAGTTTTTGGAAGATAAGTTCAAATTTTTTCTAATCAGTCAAGCATATTGTCAATTGATGGAGTTAAAAAGGTGAGAATAGGGATTGAAATAAATAGATCAGATTAACTAATAATTTCTGTGTAAAACAAAGTATCTTGAGAAGTCTTTGCTGTTACAAGAGCAGATTCTTTGCAAGAAAGTACTGGAATCTTTACTGTTTAAAATGTGCATATTGCATTGAATAGATAAGATTCCTAGTGCAGAAAAATGATGACTTAAAATTTTTTAGAATGGAGAGCGAAGTTTTGGATCAGAAATCTTTCCCCCTTCTTCTATTGAAGCATTACTCTCACTGATGTCAGAAGAGGAGATCCCTCCTATAGAAATACTGGAGTCTTTGCTGTTACAAGATGAAAGTCTTTGCAAAGAAGTGCTGGAGTCTTTACTGTCACAGCAGTTGATTTCTCGCAATGAAGCACAGGATTTACTGCGCTCACATGGGATGGATTTGACATATACTGAAAGTCCTCAAAAAAAATCATGGTATCAATTAAATTCATGTTTTTTGATAGTGGGTATTGGTAAAATTTCCCCTTCAGTTCATCGTTTGGAAGTAATTACTGCCATTCATTGGCAAAGTGTTCTCAGGTTATATGAATTCGTAGGAGTCTACTAAAGTACACATCAGTAATGTGTGCTTACATATGACTCGTAAGCATATGAAACATTCATTTTATGTGAAATTTTTAGCTTCTTATGGTGGTACAGTAATTTTGATATTTTTTTAAGTCATCGAGGAGAGCGACTATCAGTTGGCTATCACAGCGATACGGATGTGAATTTAATGGAGAAAGAAAAAAAGAGAAAGGTAACAGTTTGTCCTAGGATATCCTTGGTTAGAATACCCTTGACTTAAAAGTTTTCAAATTTCAGATTCGTAAACGAAAACTGTCGGGTGACTTGGGATGCCATCGAAGAAGTGAAACAACTGTTTTTAAGGTATCTCTGTTTAGATTCAAAGAAGAGGTTTGGAATGCATTTGCATAATTTGATATAGGAAATATCATAGACATGAAACTGTTACGAAACTGTGAGGATATCTTACAATATTCCTTATACCAGATTATTTTTTCTTGGAAGAAAAATATAAATTTGAAGTTGCGGAGAGAGATGGTCGAAGACACCTGGCTAAATATGGTGAACGACAATAAGGAAAATATTCCCCCAAGAAATCTAGTAATTTTTTTTTTTAATAGCTTGAATAGTTCATCTGTTACGTCAGATGTTTTGTGGAAATTTAAATTTGTTGTCTTAAATTCGGATTTCAGGCTGAGAGCAAGCAGAAAATTCAGGAGTGCAAATCAGCATCAGACGAACCGAAAAAAATGCTTACATGTAAAGTTTTATTGTTTATTTCTCTTTACAATGCTTTTTTTATTCTTGTACTGTTTGCAGACAAGAAATTTTCACATCATGAGATGACAATCATACCTATCGGATATTTACAAATTAATCGCGAAGCATTTTGCAATCGGGATATAATCTATCGCAGAAACAGATCAATAATGCATCACACCAGTCAAGATGTTGAAAATCTGGGCAATGTGAGTTTTGAATATTTATTCCAGAATATAATACGTGGTAGTCTTGAAAAGACGCGCTTTCGAAAATGCT